TTCTGTGTAACAGTCAGGTTTTGGTCAGTATAATGCTTACTTGATATTTTCTAAAATTATTTTGTCATTTTACACCAAGATTAAGAGATCTACTCCCAGAAATCCCTTTAGGCGTTATGTCCAAAATACAGACCAACAGTCCATCTTACTGACTCAGGGAAGCTACTAAACCTTTGCTATTTATTACTATCTTTCATCCAGATGTTGCAGTTACCTGATTTGATACTGAATGTTTCTTTTAGAATAATAGATAACAAACTAGGTGGTGATTTTAAAGGGTTTTCTTCTCTACCCACTTGAGACACAAAACTACAGTCAGTGACTGATGAAGGCTCACTATATATAATTAGTGAAGAATCCTTTAAGTTCAGAGCAATGAAAGCATGAAAACCTGGAACCAAGCCTTGTATTTCAAAAGATTTTGTTCTGACCTATAGGTCCAAGACCTGCTGCACTGGCTACAAAGTGGCATAACTGGGGAAGTGAAGATCATGCTCGGCAGCTACAAAAATAGCCCTATCACTGTATACACCATGTGCCAAATAAAGGGGAATATAAATCATGCTGAAAAGCGAGGCATATCAATAAGAGAAAGGTCCGTATGGGATGCACAATGGCTGAAGAACATATGTAACTTGGTGATGATATTAAAGGCCTCTTCCTGCTCATTGCTCAGAAACAGCTCTCCAGAAAATCTAGTTTAAGGTGGCTAAAAGTTCTTCTTTGTGGCTGGAGAATTACAAAGACTTGCTAAACTGAGAAAGATGCAGATGTGGAGGACACCAACCAAACATCCATCTGTCTTGGGAGAAGGGAAGGAGAGAAATGGGTGTAGTGGCAAATGTTATTTAAGTGCTTCTTACCCAGGGCAAGAGTCATCTGGGAACATCCTAAGCTGAGAAATGTAACTAAAAAGATGTCAAAGCAGCTTTCCTGAGGGTTGCAGACTGACATGTGTGAAAGTTCCCTGGTGGAAAGTCGAGGTAGAAACACAATCATAAAATGAATAACGCAGAATTACAGAAGAATGAAGTGCCTGGTCAGTTAAGAGTAATTCAGATTTATTCTCATGACCAAGATCACTCGGCACACTGGAGGTAAGATATCCTCCAAAAGACATTGTCCATACACCATCAGCCAAGAGAAAAGTTCCACCAAAGAATCCAATTCACTAAGATTGTGCCTGTCAATTCATTAATCATACTCTCTTCATATGAAGATGCATCAATTTTCTCTTTCCATTTGGATGCTACAAAGACAAAAGTCTACTGCTGGCTGCAATCTTGCACTGTAGGTCATAAATATTTTTAAGAAACCACTTGTTGGGCGGGGTTTTTTTCATTATTTTACAGGTGTAGAAATAAATCTTGCTACAGCTGCATTCAGCTACAGGAACAAATGCTCTCTACTCTCTTCTGAAAGCTCACAAGCATAACTTTCATTTTTAGTGCTTTATTTTTTCAAATTTTTCTGTTGTAAAAGTTTGCTTCATTCCCTTGTTTAAGGTGTCTCTACAAGCATTGTAAATCTTGATCGTTTTACACTGTCAACAGATTTCCAAGTCTGTAGAAGAAGGTTTATAAGTGTTCTTCATCTATGACTGAAAGTGACCAAACTAAAAGTCTCCGTATCCACGTGCTTTGAATAATTTCACTGTTTATAACCTTGAAATACATAGTGCCTTACTGTCACTGTAACAAAGCTCCATACAGATAATGGCCAGCTCGTTATCTAGATGGAGGCTTAGCCCGTGTCAATTATTTCCTCCGAGTCACTGACAGTGAATTCAGATAGTATTTTACTTCTTGGCAGCTCCGTTTGAAGGTGCACATAGGATGCATAACAAAAGATTCTCATTTATAGCTGTTATTCTTGATGGCACTATTTTCACGGAAAAAACATTTGGTTTAATGTTAATGCATAAAATGAGGACCTTTCTTAATATAAGAAGGAGGCTGACATATTGAAAATGCAATAAAAATATCTTCCTTCAGAGTCATATTCCTTATTCATCATAATGAATAGGTTTCACTTTGTTGATGCTTTGACTAAGCTCAGATCACAAAACAACATGAGTTTCAATGTTACAAAACATTTTAAATATATCTTGGACAGAAAATGAGAGATTCACTGTCTTTTGATGACCTCAGACCAAGGGTCTCAGTTTTATTTAATCATCAATTATCAGCCTCACCACATGGAGAGGACACAACTCTGTCGTGAGCACCAATGACAAATGACTACCTTTTGAACCATCAGGCTACAACCTTCAATTCTATTCAAAGTTGACCTTAAAAATTTGAATCCATAATAAAGCCCCGTATTCCTCTACTACTGTGATCCTAACCAGAGCACAAGCTAATTGTATGATCTGCTCTACACAAGTGGACAAAGCAGGTGCCCCAGTTCTATTTTATCATTTAATCGAATGAGATCCATGAGCACTTAGGTTAAGATTCTGCACTTAAATTACAGTACTGCATGCTTGAATGTTTATGTCTTGCTTGATTCAGGAAAACATCTTTCACTTGAACACATGGTCAGTATAAATATGTCTCTAACTCCTGCTCAAATTGGAGTCACAGTGTTTCTTACAGAGCAAGATATTATTCAGTAGTGGTAAAACTATGTCTTCAAACAAATATAATTATGGTACTGAACAAAAAATAAATAACTTTAAATCATATGAAACATGTTTATCATGATTCCAGAAGTTCGTATTTAGAGTTTACTAAACCTCTGAACTGTTTAAATAGCACATGTTAAGATACAAGTACTAGATATACTCCCTACAGTGGAATCAAAAAATATTTTATAATCTTTAAGAATGTAAAATTCAGTCCTACAACATGTATGTATCCATTTCCAGGATGACCCAGCAGCAATTCTGAAAAGAGTACATAATTTTAAAAAATAAAAAGCTTCCCCAATTGAAACCACGGGAAGGATTCATGCACAAACTGTGAATTCATCTACCCTGAAATCTGGCCCGACTAGCGGGTAACTCTGACAGTCTTACCACCAGCTCTGCTCCAACTAATCTGCATTTATAGGGCTACAGTACATCTGCCTTACGTCAGACCTTAGTTACAATAAACATCTATAGATACCAGCCAAGGTTTGTCTGGATGAAGAAAAGAATAAAAGCTGCAGGAAAATGGTGAGAAGATTGTTAATGGCTTCATAATCAAACCTGGAAATACAGTAAAGGATGCCTTCTGCTCTGGATCCATTCTTCGGCACAACTTGCAACCATAGCCAACAAACAAACTTGTGTTGTACTGAAAGGTCTATAGAAGTGAGAGCACTCAGCTTCTTGTGGAAAATTAGCACAAAATATTGTATGGGTAAAAGACTGTACCTCCAGTAGCTCTGTGAGTTCTCTTAGTATTTAATCAAATTTCTTTTGCTAAAATATTGCAAAAGAGGAAACAATGCTTTCCTCTACTCAGTTTAGGAAATTCAACAAAATTCAACCTCTGCTACATTGAATATCATTTGAGAAAACAGCAACTGCACTGCAGAATGGGAGTGCTGGGACATGCCAACAAACATCAGATTTCTTTAAACATTTATGATATTATTGTATAAAACAAGATTAACATCACTACAGATCAGCTACAAAAGTTCAGTTCACTATGGCAGGGAATACACGTTAAACACAATTGTGAAATAAAAGGATGATAAGAAGCACCATTAAACAGGAAAACAACTGAAACTCTTTCATATATGTTTTCTTTCCTTAAAGGAACAATTCAGAAGAAAACTTCAAACCTTCATAACTTTCTTTTTCTTAATGAACTGTCAACACAGATCCGTGTGGGAGACTCTGATTTGCAAATAACATATTTTTATAGTATCATATTCTTCCCAAAGAAATGACATACAAACATCAAAATCATTATTTTAAGCATTAAAAATCTGTTTATACTGGACTGCTAATTTCTGGTGTGTAGTGATGCCTCTACCTTAAGGTAAATCTGAAATAGAAAAAGAAGAGAATGGGAATAATTATGGCTCAGATCCAATGCCACTATTTTGGCAGCCTTGCTCTGCAGGTCTTTTCAAGGCACATCGTTTTTTTACTGAGTGTATTAGGAATTTACAAACTTTGTTTTAGCAGGACTGTCATTCTGCTAAATCATTCCTAATCCTCATCCTTCCAGGGCTTAGTGTTTAAAAATTGGATGCCACTGCACTTGAGAAAGACTTCTCTGTTACATATGCTGCAACTTTTCTCATTAATTCATGAGGTTTTGAGTCTGGTTTCACGCTTAGGATTGAGGAAGGATTTGTCATTTTATATTAAATAGTGGTATCATAAAGAATGGTAAAATGTACAACCTAAGGTAAAAAAAAGTCAGTTACCATTCAAGAAGTCAAACCCGTCTGCTTATTGCCATCACATTTCATTGTAATTTTGGCCAGGGAATGGTAAAAAGACGTGCAAGCTATTGGTTCGCTCAGTTTGGCTTGTATGAGATTAACTTCATTTAGGTTCTGCTTTTTTTATTACCAAGTCATTCATGGTTCCAAACTGTTTAAATTAAATTAGCCATTGAACAAGAGACCTTGCCCCTCTCATTCACAAATGCTGACCGTCTGTGGTATATAAGTGTGGCACTTCTGATCTTGCCTTGCCTAAACCCAAAATATTTCTGAATACTGTGGCTTGTAGCCACATGAGTTGGAGAGATATTCACAGGGGATAATCAGTGAGATAACATATCTCCAACGGGTGATTGGGAGCCTTGATAAGCGAAGCTCTGACTCAGATTTGTCCTCTGAGGAATCCTTCCTGTCATGCTCCGGTTCTCCAGTGAGTGCAGTAGGAATCTAGGGAGATTAGCTTTAGCAAAATAAAACTGGCCTTTGTGAATACTTTCCTTTTCATGAGGAAAAATTCATCCAAACTATCACTTCTGTTAGCGCTAAAAAAAAATAAAAATATTTTAAAGGCTCTGAAGTGAATACAATTTTTTTTTTTTCTACAAATGAATCTTCTCTGTTTCTTTTTCCTCTGAGTACTTAAAATATTTGCCCAGCTCTAATAGCACTATTTTAGTCAGGATGGAAAGAATTACACTGTACATAGGACTAGGGAGTAAAATAAAACTGTCATCATGTTTTAATTTATTTACAGAAAGAGGAACTTGAGACAGTATGATTGTTTTCATCAGGTTTTCATTCACTGTATGTGAAATGAGTCTTCATACTTCCAGTTGGGTTTCATTCATCGCTGTTGAGTCCCTGTGTGCAGATATGGTATACATCCTACGGGAAGGAGAAAGCACAACAATCATTTTGTTCGTACCAAGCTCACAATTAAGTTCCTAATTCTGGGAAGTGATTTTTCCAGATCATTTTGTTCACTGCACAGCCCTAGGACGGCCAACATGGATTCAGGGTGAGGGACTGCGTGAAACCTCCTTCCTCCTTTAGAGTGATAACATGGAGGTTAAACACAAATCCAGCTGCCAAAGGTTCACTGAGGGCTACTTTGGATTTGTCTAAAACTGCAGAAGGGCTTTTGTTAAACTAAATTCAGCACCTCTAACACTTACAACATATGAATCCTGTATATTCTGCAGATGACATAAATCTGTGTGTAAGATTATAGAAATATTTGCTAAGGGAAGTTGTGGAAGCTGGAGATATTGACTCATTCTCTGAACAATATACTGAAAAATGCTGGAATTGGTAAGGGAATAAATAATATGAATGATGAAATCGGCCTTCATGCCTTAAATAAGTGCTTACTGAAGCACGCATATTCTAGGCTGTCGAAGCAAATTACTCTACTGGAATTGTATGGATTCACAGTCACTTATATGTGGAAGGACATTTGTGGCCTTTATATCAGTCTACACTGTCAGAATAACATCCATCATTATCTCATTCTTGTTCAATCACAGAAGTAAAATGTTTGTCTGGCATAAGGCAGAACTAGAAGCGTTTTTCCTCCAAGTGCACAGTTTCCAGGAACTCCACTGGTGGTCAGAAAAGATTTTGCCAGAAACGTGCAAATAGCTGAGAGGCCTTTTTATGAGACCTTATTGCACTTTGATTTGTTTGGTTTGGGATTCTTATGGTGTGAGCAGTACCTGCAGGAACTGCAGGATTCAGGAACTATTCAGGAACTTTTGTTTCTCCCTGCCAATTCTGTGGCAGAAAGCATAGTATTAACAGGTTCATTACATAAGGAATGAACACAGTTCTCTTCCATTTACTTCACTGGCAGTGGAGGTCATCAACACGTTGTGGAGGTAACCCATATGATGACATGAAAGAAAAGGAACAGGAGGAGGACAGGACTGATCCAGAAAACACTAAACCCAATGGGACTCTTTCCAGCTGTATATCCAGATTCCAACTGGATCCAAAAGAACCATCTCCTTGCATATGGTTTTATACCTAGAGTAACTTTACAAAACTCCATGGCAAGAAAGACCCTGAATAGGTCATGGTCAAAAAGAAGAAATAAGATTCAGAACGCTGTGACTCTTGGTAAGATCTTAGTGTGGTACTTTTTAGAACATTGCATACAGAAAGGTATCCGACTTTTTAAAGAAGAAATTACCTCGGTTTCTTCAAAGAGCTCTTCTTCTGCAGTGTCTTCAGTCCTCCTGACTGGCAACAGGCAAATTTACAATCAATGACCTGGTAGATAATTGGGTTGTACATCGCTGCTGACTTTGCAAGCAAAGTTGGTACCACTGAAAACTGAATGGGAACTGAATCCGGCTGTCCAAAGGCTGACCACACTGAGACCACGGCGTAAGGGATCCAGGCAATGAGGAACCCTGCACAGATCAACATTGCCACCTTGTGAGAGGAAAAGAGAAAAGAGAGAGGTTAATCTAGCAGTGAGACACTGACAGCATAGCACAGAGCTAGGCAGAATGTAAGGGAACAGGCCACAGAGTAGAAAACAAAAAAGATAACTTGCTTCAGTTAAATTTACAATATGAACCAAAGCTGTCACGCGAGTCTCTATCGAGCCTCTGTTTTTCTTTCACCTGACACAGAGCAGTTAATGAGTCAGTTATCAGAGACCTTTAAAAATGGTAAAAGGTCTGGCTACACATGAATAAAATGAATAGGATGCCAGAAAATAATAATTCTTTTACATTAAATTTAAAGTATTTAACGAGAAGAGTCCTCTCAAAACCTGCAGACTCTCTTTTTTAGGATAATGTATAATGTGGACCTGTGAAAGTTTTTAAAAATCTTAGCAAGATCTTTGAAATGAACATAGGTTAAACTGGGAAAAATTCCTGCAGGGTTTCTTTTTGGTTTTGTTTGGGGTTTTTTTCTCTTTTTTTTTTTTTCTTATTTGAGGAGCCTCTTACTTCTATAGTCTCTTCCAACCAAATATTGTTAAGATTGTCAAAAAGAAACCCAGTTTCTTTTTCATTCCGTAGTGAAACAAACATGAAATGGGAAAACAAACCCCAAAAAAATTAAGTGCAAGTCTTCCAGATTCTGGGTCCTTTGAAATCAGATTCCAAAGTTCATAAAATCAAAGTCTTTGAAGAAGTTTGCAGGACTGAATTAGGTCCTGATGGTGTGTCGGAGCGAGGGACCTTGAGTGTCTCAGTAGGTGAGTTTGTTTGGGAGGGTATATTACTGTCTGCTTCTACTATAGCTCCTTCTGCTGTATCATCCAGTACCGGTCAATGATGCAAAACCAAAGGAACTGAGCAACAGAAGAAAAGAATTTGCAACACCCTAATCTAACACATGGCTTCTTCCTCCCTTGCAGGCTGTGCTGATGTCCCACAGAGAAGGCGTCAAAACCCAGTAGGACCAGTAACCTGCCACGAGGATGGACACTGTTAACAGGAGGAAGAAGAGAGAGGAGTTTTGGTAAACTAGGTCTATCTTCTGCCTGAACCCAGGAGGGGGTCTATGGCCTATCTTCCACTGGAAAAATGCCAATCAAGCAAAACCCTTTCAAGACAAATATGGAAAAATTGGGCATAAAGTTACTCAATAAGGCATGAGCTGTTAAGTCTCTGGGTATACCCACTCCAGCAGATAAAAAATGACTGTATTTACCTGGGTGAGCCAGAATTGAAACTACTGGGAATTTAACTCAGAGTGAGAACACCAGTACAATGTCCAGTTTTCTTTCTCCTAATATATAGCACAGATTATGTACTCCATTAGAATCTGTAGATGCTTTACAAAGCAAATTTCTACCAAATATTTAGGTTGCATTCTTGGTAAATGAGAAAAATCACTTCCTTAGAGCAGGAGGAAATTTAGTCATAGATATGTTTAGCATTAAATATTAAAGAAAAACTGTTTGGGGCCAAAATTTGTGTTTTATATACTTTACCTGAACCAGCCCGTCTGTACTCAGTCACGGACTGTTACAGCTTCAAATGACATCATGCAATAGTGCATAGTGAAGAACATATGTATTCTGCTGCTACAATTGACAGGCTGTTATTCTGCGCCCAAAATGATAACGGTACCCGTGCACTCATTTGCGATAAGGCAATTAGGTTTACAGCAAAAAATCCTCGGAAAGCACATGTTTTTTGGATATTGCATAGCCTTTTGTGGAGCCTTCATTTCCACATCTTGATGGTAATATTATTTTCAGGGACACATTTATGGTTGTTTTGTTGTCTGCCACTGAAGAAACAGTGCATGTGAGCCAAGGATCTCAAACACAGCCTGTTTGTTATAAATTGTGCTGCGAAGTTAAATGGGTTACGATGGAGACTCATTTTCCATATTTATATATATCTCAACATACTATTCTCCACTATAGATCTCAGATAGAAGGAACAACTACTAGTGTTTCTACTCCGATCACATTCAAGTTTTGCATGATCTCTCCAATATGACAAAAATAAATCTGCAACCTCCAATCAAAATTTGTCATTGTTCTTCAAATGAAAGGTCCTGAATAACTGCAAAACTACTGTACTGAAGCAACGCTTTGTAAAAGCAAGGACAGTTTTACCAGATGTATTAGCAGCATGGACCATACAAGTAGCTAGCTGAGTTTCTCTGATATGTTTAGACATAATGTCACCTATTGCTGTATATTATATAACTTCCAGTTCAACGCCCCAAAAATGTAATAAAATTTGATCAACCAAGCAAAGGATGCTGCTTGTCTCCCTCTTGGCATGGCATGCAGAGGCTGATGAATATTTACAGCTAAGGAATCCTGTTTCATTTAGCGCAAGTTTTTATTTTGTGATATTTCCTGGCACAATAACCAGTATCAGAAAGGATCATGCCTGTCACCATTGCCAAATAGAAAATAGACCAAATCAGAAAGGGTAAATAGGATATGGTCTGAGATGGAAAATTAATTTTATCACTTGAGTTCATTTTTATCAACAGCTCATGGCTGAACCTAAATGATAAATTATTTGCATAAAAACAATCGCAATGTCACAGGAGTGACTTTGGTTTATATCTTCATTGACAGAGGAACACAAGCTGTCTGAAAGTTTTATTTCTCTGCTACAATAATTGGCTTTTTATCGGTTTTTCTATTATAATTCCTGGGCACCTTGAATGCCTTAAAACAATTCTTCACAACTACACCTGAAAGCAAAGGGAATTTTACAATGAGGAACAGGGCCAGAGGGAGATGATGTGACTTGTGTAAGGTCACACAGGAAGGCTGTGGCAGAGCTTCAGACTGAATCACAATCTTGGGGACTCGAGTTCCCTAATCACAAAGTTATGTTTCAACTTTTCCCAACTTGACAATAATGGAGGAGAGTGCTAGAAGAACCACCTTCAGAGCGTTGTACTATCGCTTAGTGTAGGAGAGTACATGGTTGAAGTTCTCCAAGCCTGCTTTTATGACCTGACAAAGAAAACTGAGTTAAATCTTCCTACCTACCTTGGTCAGCTTCATTTCAAGTATGTGGCTGTTCTGAATCCTGGTATCATAGTGAGCAACCTCTTTGGTGGATGACTTGACTTTTAGAATGATTTTGACATAGGAAAACACAATCACCGCAGTTGGGAACAGGAGGCAAAAAAAAAGAATACTCAGAATAAAAGCCTGGCCAGCCACCGAAGCCTGCGCCAGCCACCAGTCCAGAGTGCAGGAGGTCCCAAAGGGCTCAGGGGCATAGCTCCCCACACCAGCAAAAGGCACCGTAGCCCAGAACGTAGCATAGGCCCAGATTATTGCCAGACAGATAAATGCATGATGTCTCTTAAGCCAGGTACCTGGAAGATAATTCAAGAGTTACAACCTCAGGTCCATATGTATTTGGCACAATTGAATATGTCATTCTACACATGCCGTAAGAGTTTGCTTGGCTGTTTGATAACAGCTGCTCTAGGGTTTGTCTTGCCTCCTTCCAGCTAAGCTATGTATAGTGACCTCTGAGCTAGCCACCCCCACTCACATCATACCTCATAAAGAGAAATACACACTCATAGAAAGGGCTCCACCTGCCATTAACTCAGATCTCTGCTTTAGGCTGTGATGATTTACAACCTGGAAGAGTCTGTACAAAAGTAATCCAAACAGCTAGCTCAGCAATGACCACGGGCACCTTGTCTAGTACTTTTGAAAATTACTTTGTGGTCTGTAAAGGCAAATTCATAGTGTGTGGTTAGATGAGATGGAGGCTCAACTCACATGAAGGACTAAGTGCAAAAGCTCACTGTCTGCAACCATATGATGCAACTTACGTTATTTCCTATTCTTACTGTCACATATTAACTGACTACAGTTTGACCTCAGGACACTTCTCAACATAAATCATTAGCCCAAATAACTTAAAGATAAAGCTTGACAGAGGAAATAACGTATATGAGGTTTATTTTCACCTTATCATTCTTTTCCAGTACAATAAATCATCATGTCTATATAGTCAGAATTATTTATAATTGGTGTTTTCCTGTATCCTTGTCCATTTGTTTTATTAAATGCTAATGGAATGCCTGGAGTAGAGGAGTGGAGTACTGCCTCTGATCACCTTGCATGCAACCCTACCTCAGCTAGAAAAAGCTTCAGTTTACAAGCTTTCCCTCATCACCTATGTTCAACATGTTGGATTCAGGTAGGACAAAAAAGTTAAAACCTGTCATTTACACAGACACTCAGACTACAGCATTATAACTGCCCCTTCTATCTTGGAAACTCTAATCTGTCTTCACTCCCCATCCACTGACACTGGGGAGCTTTCGTCACGGTTTTAGAATGACTTAAAACAAAACCAAGGCAAAATAAACAACTCTAATGTGAATCTGACTGGTGCCTCTTCCCTACCTGATTTTACTTTTCCAGATCACTGGAAGATGGACACTGACTGTTAAATTAATTCAAGAACAATTGCTGAGAGACAGGAAGGTGATTTGTTGTGTTCGGGTGTAGAAAAACTACAGCAACAATAACATGAGGATGAAAATTTGGCATTATTTTCACAGCTATTGTCAAACCACAGACATCTATTACCAATAAATAAATAAGTTGCTGCTTGGAGTAAAACAAAGGTGTAAGCATATAGTAAGGTGCTCCAGGTTCCTGATTAATTTAGGCCATGAACTTGCTTTCAGAAATTGTTCAAAGAGCTTCCAGGTTGCACTTCTTGTGGCAAGAGTCTTCTTATTCCTAGTCCTAGAGGAGAAGTAGGTCAAGGAGTAGCTCTTCATGTTGACACACCCTACTGGAACCAGGTACCTTCACATGGAAGAATGATGTAGGAAAGGGCAGACTCTAAATCCTAGGTTTCAGGAACATAAACCAGATCAGAAGTCCTTATACAGTAATGGCTAAGTTAACCACCTGGACTGAACATGCTAAATATGTTTATTGCTCCCTATCATTTTGTACAGACAACCATGATCAGATAGGCCTTGAGAAAAAAGGTTTCGAAACATTCTGTCTCTCTTGAACTAAGACATCATACTAAATACCAGAACTCACAGCATGAATGCAGCCAGTCATTAAATGTTTACTTCAGCTCAACAAGTCTGAAAAATTGTCTGTGGTTTGAGTTGCCACTGAACTGTTTTGATAAGACCTTTATAGGAAGAACTGGAATCCTGCTTAATGTGAATGGTGTATTTAAAACTCAGCTAAGGAGACTTTCCCTGCACTCACATCTCAGGAAATACAGCCAAAAACCAGGGCAAGTACAGATATGCCAGGATCTATGATAGCAGATCACTAAGGTGCAGTCCCACAGCTTTAACTGACAGCACACTCAGCTACTGGACAGTCCAGCATACTTACACTTCCCAGCTGCAAACATTTCTTATAACTTAACATTACATGGTTGATATTGTGTGTCATTATAATGAGAGCAGTTGTATGCCCCTCAAGACACTTGGGAAACGTGGTTTTTTATATGTAAAGTCACCTTGAGTATTCCCAGTATGTTGTTGGGGAGTTAGTCCCTTTCAATGAAAGAAAGATGTTTTTTTCCAAACTGTGAGAACATCTTTTAACTGGACAGAATGAAGCATATAATAATTCATATGCAGGAGACATAAGATATTGATGGATATGATGGTAACACCTTTCATTGCTAAATTCCTCTCAGGTTCCATCTCTGTATTAAAGACACATCTCTTATGACTTATTGCACATCCATATCTTTTAGATGTTTCAAATAGCTTGCCACATATCTTAAAGGAATTTAAGCATCTAATATGGGATACTTTTGTGTGTCAGATCATAAGACCTAGCAAGATGTGCAGTATTTTAATAAGTTAATGTCAATAGGCCTTGATAGACACAAAGTGATTTATCTATGAGTGATTACTAAAAACTCATGACTTAGGCAGACAGCAGAGAGAAAACAGTGATGGTGTTATGTCCAGCAATACAACTTTATCTGGGACTACTTAGGTCATACCTATATGTTCCTCTTATCTGTGTATTCCTTCTATATTTAAGAAAAGCATTTTGAAGAGTTGAAGTATGATTTCAGTCTAGAAAACTGTATCAATTAATAGGGGTGGCCAAACAGAAGGGAAAT